AAAAAAAAGTTTAAGAGTCAAAGTTAAAATTTACAACAAAATCTTACCACCCATCAAAGCAGCCTACAGTGCAAAAGGGGATAGCAGCGAAAAGCAGACAAACTTATTCTCAAGGAACACTAAATATGCATTATTAGACAGCAAAAGGTGTCCACATGCCTGATCCTGTACAGGAGAAAAGTGTGGGAAAGTATATCGAACCTCACAGGTACCAGAGTTTCACAGCGCCAACCATTTCGGTACCATAAGATGTGTGGAAAGTTGTGAAATTCCAGTTGCTATTGCTTCTACCCTAGCCCTTGATGTACATCTTATAGGATTTAACTTACATCGAATGATGAAAAATCAGTGAATTTTTCAAGTGCAATTGCTAGAAGCCAATAGTGAATCTACAACTAATTGTTCATGAAGCGGATAAATCTCAGCAAGAATACCACTTCCACGTAGTTCCAAGCGACCAAGGATTCTACCACCGTTCACCATCACTCTCCCATCGCACACACTCGCTCTCATATTGGATTCAACGTTTCTCCAGACGGGACACTGATGCTCTAGCACTAGCTCAATTTGAAACTCCATTGGCATGTGCATGGCAGAACGCAGCCAATCACATGCAAAGTGAGAGAAGACTGCAGAGCAGAAAAAAAATGAAATGCAATTGCAAAAGTGAATCTCACGGCGCACATGTGAGAACCGCAGCATAGATTGAGTACACTACGACCGAACAGAGTTCCACTCGATGAACGGAAGAGCTGTATCTAATATATCACAGCGAATTCATTTTGCAAATCAAAGGAAAACTCAACACAAAGTCGATAAGATCAAAGGAGATATACACCAGCAAAGATGCATAGTACACGGAATTCTACAAATGCCCAAAAGGAGCTAAAGCATTAATCACGTGCAAACCTTCTACACCCATGATATCAGCGGAAATACAATGCAACGATGAAGCATTCACGGTCAAATGCGGAGGCAATGGAGTACAAATAAACATAAGCTTTCTTAGCGACAGGACACTGTTCTATCGGAAATGTACAATTAATGCGGAAACAACTCATTCTTTCATGATAATAGGGCTCCTACACTTCAGAGGAAATCTAGAAGGAGTCGCAGACGCATTCTAAAGGGAGAAAGTGAAGTTTGCACAGATCAACTCACCGGACTTTGCTTATACGGCACAAACACTGATGGTGGACCACGTTAGCAATCAATGCCTCTTACTAATACTTGCCTTGCTAATAACATATCTTACCGTGTCTAACGGCTGTCTCTACAAATCAGGAGTATATGCCGCTCGATTTATGCACTGTTCAGCCTTCACCTTGCTCCGATTATTGTGGAAATTATCTTTCCGCTGCATTTACACAAGATGTTGAGAAAAGAAAAATTCAAAGACAAGGATATGTGAATGCCAAAAATGTTATATCTCATAGGTTTTGTGGGTTCATGATCCAAAACGGTATCCTTTGAGTTTTGAGCTCCTCCCCACTAAGGTGTACATTTCGCAGAATAGCCACGTAGCGATAATATTATGATTTGAACGTCCACGCTAGAAAAAGATTTATCGAGTAAGAAAGACCAGTTAGGTTATCGCAATGTCTTTTGACTGAAATCGAGCCTATTTGGTGGTAAATAACGTCAACATGTCAATCTTGGCGACTAATGGATCCATTTGTGTTACCCCACTTGACGCAGGTGCATCGTGTGGAAATAAGAAACTCACTGGCAATAGTGTTCTTTTCAATCCTTAAGGC